TATAGAATCCCACAGTATGTTGCTTTCATAGTCAATAATTCTGACTAGACCAGTAATATTAATGAAATATAATAAGTTCTTCAGTTTGACTATTTAAAAATATCGGCAAACCTTCAAAAATAAGAACAGTTCACATATCTTAGCTAACTGGGAACCAAATTTTTCCATTCTAGGGTTGAAAATTCATCTTCTGCAGGAGCCATAACCTTAACATTCACGCATCTAGTCATATTTTATGTTAAATATTTGTATTAGCATAGTAGTGTATCCAAGGCACACCCACACAGAGAACACACAGCACCATACACATTTTTGATGCAAAAATGGGAAGGAGGTCTTTAAGTGCCTAGTATAAAAGCATAGCAATAAATAATGATAATAATACTGTGCTCAAAAGTAAATAAATATAAGGTAAAACAAATATATTATGTATAAAAGAAATACTTGTAAAGAGAATGTCTATACATGGTTAAAGGGAGCTAATTTGACTCCTTAAAAATAAATGGTTTTTCTCCCCCAATGCCCCTAGGTATTTCGGTATTAAACAAATCAGCATTTAAAAAAATATATACAAATAAAGGACCCTTTTCAAAACATTAGTTTATGGGAATACAGTAAATTAGTATGTAAAGGACCTTTTTTTCATGCCAGGGGCATATCAGGCATGTGCAAACAGACATAACTTTTTAACAGACAAATCTGTACTCGATAGGTTTAGGCATTTAGTGCTGGATCTACATTTTCACATACTAATCACGAGAGGTGAGCATTCATGCCTCGATATGTATAAAAAACACAGACTAACAAAGGACAGGACAGGTAAAATATCTTACAGTATCCCTCATTACCATCTTGTTGACAAGAATATACATGTCTAACCACTACAATAAACCTTGATAACAAAACTTTGAAGGATCGGGGGGAAAAAATCCAAAGTTCATATTAACAGTGTTGCGTGCTAACAGGGAACTCAAATTAGTACATCTTAGCAGGGACCAACATTTTGTACATGATAACCAAGTTTTCTCAACTCTTTCAGTTCCAAGCAACTCACTGGTGTGTGAATGAATTTACCCCTTAATCTCCCCCTCCCCCCATAGCATATTGCGCTCTCTTACTTTAAACATTTAGTTAGAACATTCTAGAGAAATCTGGCTTCCACCAATGGTCACTACAACTATGTATACTGCCACTTTGAAAGTACAGCATTCATGACTCTGCTTAATGATTATTTCATCACTTGAGCATTTTGACCTTTAGCTAGAAGAAAACCAATCACACCTGAATTTTACAGCTGACAGGACAGGCAATAAATTTCCATTTTTATTCATTTGCGGCTCATGAACCGCTGAACAAATGTGACTGCATGTTGGTGTGTTGGTAGCTAATAGGCTACTGAATGATAGAAGCGATTAACCAGCCAATTATATTTTGACTCTACAATAGCCCTTGATTGTCGTTCATTCTCATCACGATGACAAGAGGTGAATGCACATGTCTGTCTATGTACATGTCTAACTATCTAACACTGACAGTCTAACAAACAACAAAGGGAGATAAAGTGTTTTACAGTATCTCTCATTTTCATCCAAATAGCAATATGTTAGTTGCGTATCCTTTACAGGACGTTGCAGAACCAACCCCAACAGTCCCTGGCTGTTGTGTGGTTTTTCTAGGCAAATTTACGTCCAGTAGTTTGATATTTCTTTCCGGACGGTCGGCTTTCTTGGTATCACTTTTGAAACCAACGCAGCTGGGATAGAGCCTGGCATCCTGGCATTACGAAGCGTTCGCATCGACTTAGCCACAGAGCCGACCCAAATAGCAATAACTGCTGAAAATATGTGTCTAATGATTTATTTAACACTACAGGTTTACAAATGACAAAGTATATCAGGTAATTTACAGTATCTCTCCTTCTTATACAGACAGCAAGAAGTTAATAAAAAGTCTTATTATAAATCAAATACTGACAGTCCAACAAATAGCAAGGTAGACAAGGTGCTTCACTGTGGTTCCAAACACAACACTATCTACAGTTAGCCATTAACAATATGTACTACAACAAGCCTTGTCTACTGAGTTACCTCTTCCCACGGTGTTTGTTATTGTGAGGTCTGAAATTATTGCATCTCAGTGTCAGTTACATCAAGGAGATTACACAAGAAATTACAGGATACAGGGGTGCTGACACAGAGAAAACACTGGATTGGGGGTGGGGATACATGAAGCTTGGGGCTTAATCCTTCTTTAAGTGCGCCTAATTAATAATAATAATAATTGTGCTTAATATAAATAAGTTAAATAATATGAAATTTATAAACAAATATTTAAAGTTTAACACATATTCATGCCTCACTCAGCTTAGCCTCCTCCTCCCCCCCTCCCCCCTCCTTGTTTTCCCTAATAAATTTTATACTGGCAGAAGTTAGGATTCAGTTCCCCCTAAAAATGGTTGCAGGAGTTTAGCACCGCCCCCCTCTAAAAAAAAAAAAAACTGGTCGGGTGGGAACTCAACTTGACAGAGCTGCCAGGTTCCACCACCCATGACTGGATATGAAAAAGTTTAGGGCAACCAGTTATGACAACCAGCCAGTAATAACCTGCTGGTGATAATTAGCTGATGAAAAACAATCAGTGATAATCAGTCAGTCAGAAAAGTAGTAACCAGAAAAGATAAAATCAGGAATGAAGTCATAAGAGATAAATTTGGCAGAGAATCAACTCTATTTTACATACAAAGATAGAAAATAACTCTTACAGAGAATGCATTCTAATGCCATACTATACAAGTCATACACCAAAAGAGGAGAGGGATGCAGAGCACAGAGTAGACCAAGAACAAAATCAAGAATAACAGCAGAGACACTGCAACAACAGCATGTGTTTATTGTTGATGCAGCTGAAAAAGCATGAACCAGAATGTTATAGCTCCCTTGACACGGTACAAGAGAAGTGAAAGGGAAAAAAGAAGATGAAAAAGAAGAAGTAGAAAAAGAAGCAGAAGGAGGAGGAGAAGAAGAAGAAGAAGAAGGAGGAGGAGGTGGAGGAGAAGAACCAGTCAGTAATAATAATCTGATAACAACAAATGGCAAATAGAAGCAACCATCTAATGAAACTCTGGTTGATACCATCCACTTACAACTAGCCGGTGACACCCAGATGAAGAATATCATCCAGTGAAAACCAGTTGGTAACAACCTCCTGATGAAAATCATCAAGTGACAACCAACTGATAACAACCAGCTGATGAAAACAATGCAGTGATGATTCAGTGACAACCATTTTGTAACAACCCATTGGTGACAACCAGTCAATGAATACCACTTAGTGACAACATCAAAAACTACTGTTCCATGTCAATCTGACATAAATGATACATGAATTGAGGTGGACCCCTGGGAACAAATTGATCACAGAAAGGATGAGAGCTGTGAGAAGAAACAGACTAAACACAAATGTTGACAACAATGACCATGAAATCCCATGCTATAACTGTGGAAGACTTTTCTTAATGTGGGTGGGTCTTGCTAGTCACACATGCCATCGCTATGGGCTGTGAGCCCCGTGCTTTCCTTATAGCGCAATATAACAATATCCTCTGGAAAGAAAGATAGGTGCCAATCAATCATTATGTCAATCTTCACCAGGAAAATTTAAACATTTAGAAGCAATGAACACTTACATGATCAGACATTTTTGCATCACACTGACACTTGGGAGTCAAGGTAGCACAGTGGCTACGCACTTACCCATATGTCTGAAAGTATTTAGTTCAAATCCACAGGGAAAAAGGGGGGGGGGGGGGCATATTTATTTATAACTGACCCTGGCTCTCAAATCAACCCAGCCTAAAATGAGTAGCAAGAAATATAGGAAATAAAGGTGGCCAGCCTGACCATATTGCCCACTGAAGGTCAACGGGCCTATAAACCTAAGAGTTTAGCATCATATGACCATGTACCATTGGAGTGAAAAGGGTCCTTTACTTCTGCACTTTCACACAGCCCCATTGGAGCCTTATGGCCTAAATGGAATCAATATGATCTCCAAGGTCCTAGCTTCGGTTATGGGACCATTCAGACTGAATCAATCTAGAGGCCACGTTCACTTAAAAGCAATAAACAGGATTTCAATCTACGACTGTCAGCATGCTAGACACTGTGCTACTATGTTCTCCCCTCAAAAGTAAGGTAAATAAACAGAGCTGTTCATCACAGACTTGTTCACCATACTGCAAAGCTGTTGATCACGTATACTAAAAGCTGACAAGCTGACATGTGTATAATAGAAGTAGATAACATAAACTAAAAGTAGTTCAAATATGCTAAAATGTGATCTTATATACTAAAGGTTAACATTTATATTAAGGTTGATTAAATATACTTCTTCTTCTGAGCTCTCACTGGCTGTTAACTCTGGTGGAAAGTTCTGGTTGTTCATCCACTTCTGGTCTTGTTCCAGAACTTACGTTTTTGGCCTGTACATCCAATTTACCAAATCTGGCTCATTTGTATGAAGACTTTTGTTTCCTCTCCTCTCACTCAGATGCACTCTGACTAAAGAAGGAAACACCTTGATTAGTCACTTTTTACAACATGCTTTGTCAGGGAAGCAGTGTGTCTAAACTTTTCCCCTCCAAAACTGGGCAGCAATAGGGCAACAGACACTTTGTAGTGAGTACCAACACATTTTTTCACCTTTATTTATTAAAAATTCTTTAATATAAATATCAAATGTCAATAAAATTTACTAAAAGATTACTAACAACTGATCAGATAAACTAAAAGTTCATCAAACATACACAAAATTCGATTATATATTCAGAACGTTATAATGTATATTTTAAAGATGTAATGATAAAAGTATTATTCACACATACCAAAACCTGATCACAAATTTGAAAAGTGAATCACATGCAACAAATATAGCATCATGAATAAAAGGAAGAACATAGATATGCAGCCATCAATATGTGTGTGACAACACTGAACTCTTACCTAGCATTATATATTGTGTAAGGGCTTCTACAACACACAATGTGAACAGTGAGAGGACGAACAATGTGTGAGGTTCTAACAGCAAACTGTTTAACATAGCCACAGAAGTATGGATAGTGACATGCAGTGGTTTTAGACCATTCCATCTATAGGAAAGGTAAGGCAGACACATAACCACACTGCCACTAGTACCAATGGAATGAGAACTCTGCATCAGTTGCTGAAGGTGGGAACAGAACAGTTTTAGCAATGTCCCTAGTGCTTGACTGCTATTTTTTTTTTTTAAACTCACTCATGTGAATAATGTGGAAGAGTGAACTGACCAGCACAGTCTGGAGAGAATAATGCACCAGCATCAAGAGGATCTTACCAACACTCAACACTGAAGGAAACGGCAACACTGTCTGACATCAACACAAGCTTAACACAGTGAAATAAATGAGGGTCGTGACATGAAGTAGTGTTAGTTCTTTTTATACCCATCAGTGTTCATATGTTGGGCAGCAAACTACATTTGAACTTTTTTGTATTCAACTGATGAATCATCTTCTTCTTTTTCTTCTTCTTCTTCATTTAAGGATGTAAGTGCATTGAGTCCATTTACAGCATGGCTGTGATATTTATGCCTCTCAGGCAACACAACCAACTTGTACTTGTTGCCGGGTTAGTCTTCCTGGAAACTAATGCATGACCCTTACATTCTTTGGGCACATCTCGAGGAAAGGAAAATCGATTATGCTGTGACTATAGAAATGTATAAGAATGCAATAGAGACATAGCAAGACCAAGAAAAATGATGTCTGACATCATGACAGAAGGCTAGACAAACATGATTATCAATGCTATAGAGACTGACCTACAATAAGATACTGTTTCAAGTCTTTCAGTCCCAGATAGGTATCACTTTAGCTTGAAGATTTGAAGTGGTTCATATTTTTTCACACCTTTTTTGTTTTAACTGCATAAACACACATCAAAAACACCCCGAACATGAATGAAAGTTCATGAGGTGGGAAATTTGTGGTTTTCCAGCATTCCATGATAAGAGTGATGTTCTATGTTTTCCTATGAAGGATTGCATGATGAATGGTACATGCCTTAAACACATACACAAAAACACAATAGGTTAAGCTGTAACACTTCATGCTGTTTAAATGCAAGCTGAGCAAGCATGTGGACGTGTGAGGCAGTAGATAGTCACAATCTCAGTACACACACAGCACAGCTCAGATTACTATAACAGTTTTATGTTAGCAGTGAAATTATTGTAAGATATGAAAGCCACAAATAGTGAACTGTGAGATCTTATAGCATAGGCTGTGAACTAACTGCGAGGATCAACAACACAAACAGTGAACTAACCTACACAAGTTATTAACTAATTGTGAACTAATGCTTTTAGTGCATATACAAGACAGCCCTTGATAACATAACTGCTATGCATAAGTAGTAAACTAACTGTAAAGTCTGACAATATCAGTAGTGAACTAATTGTGAAGTCTGACAACATAAGTAGTAATCTAATGGTGAAGTATGACTGCACAAGCAGTCAATCTGATGGTAAAGTATGACTGCACAAGCAGTCAATCTAATGGTGAAGTATGACTGCACAAACAGTCAATCTAATGGTGAAGTATGACTGCACAAACAGTCAATCTAATGGTGAAGTATGACTGCACAAGCAGTCAATCTAATGGTGAAGTATGACTGCACAAGCAGTCAATCTAATCGTGAAGTATGACTGCACAAGCAGTCAATCTAATGGTGAAGTATGACTGCACAAGCAGTCAATCTAATGGTGAAGTATGACTGCACAAACAGTCAATCTAATGGTGAAGTATGACTGCACAAACAGTCAATCTAACTGTGAAGTTGGACTGCTCAAGCAGTCAATCTAACTCTGCGTTATGACTGCACAAGCAGTCAATCTAACTGTGAAGTATGACTGCACAAGCAGTCAATCTAAATGTGAAGTTGGACTGCTCAAGCAGTCAATCTAACTGTGCGTTATGACTGCACAAGCAGTCAATCTAACTGTGAAGTATGACTGCACAAGCAGTCAATCTAACTGTGAAGTATGACTGCACAAGCAGTCAATCTAATTGTGAAGTATGACTGCACAAACAGTCAATCTAATGGTAAAGTATGATTGCACAAACAGTCAATCTAACTGTGAAGTTGGACTGCTCAAGCAGTCAATCTAACTGTGCGTTATGACTGCACAAGCAGTCAATCTAACTGTGAAGTATGACTGCACAAGCAGTCAATCAAAATGTAAAGTATGACTGCACAAGCAGTCAATCTAACCGTGAAGTATGACTGCACAAGTATTAAACAAAATCTAGCATGACTATTCAGGCAGTCAATAAAAGTGTGAAGTACCACTATGCAAGTAGCCAAAAAAACTGTATTGTGTGACTACACAACCCTGTCTAATTATGAATTCTAGCATGAATACTCATGAAGTGGAACTAATTCCAACAAAAACACTGCAAGGCTTGTGTTAGAACAACATCAACTTCACCAGGATGTTTACTTACCGATATCTGAGATGGCATAAATGGAAATAACAGAGTGACATAATCATCAAAAATCCCATTTTCCAAAGGATATATGAAGGATTTAAATGAGAGTCTAGCTGAAACAGGCAGCCAGTGATTCTTCTTCTGATTTTGCCCTAAGAGGGTAGTTGGTACACTGCAATGTAGTTTACAGCTAGGTTGCATTATGATAATGATTATCTGCATTTTTAGCCCTATGCACCAGATTTCAGCAAATCCTCAATTAGTTACCCTTGACAACATGCTTGTTAGAAAGAGACTGCCTTGTGCTGATTTCCACAGTAGCATCAACAGCCGACCATTGAGAAAGCAATGGCAAACTACTAAAAGTAAAATTCTCCAGTAAAATCACACAAACAGCCAAAAAATGCTGGGGCTGGTTCTGCAATGTGCTGTAAATAGTATGCAACTAACTTTGTTAGGAAGTAAAGTGTGATTATTTCTTTCTTCCGCCAACATGGGACCCCCGAACCCAAACACGTAGAGTCAGTATTAAACAATACTGGAACAAATATATAGGAGGTATGCAACTGTCTTCACTATACCACTTTTTGTGTGTGGTGTAGAAAAGGAAAGGAAAGAGGTCATTTTCAGCTTCGGCTTTATGGTCGCATTGAATTTATTTTGCACCAAATTAAAAAATCCCTAAAGTGCAGCTAGACTAAAATAGGGCACAAAAGACATTCTTTATCATCATTTGCATTACACAAGTATTCATATCAGTCTACAGATCTTCACTCATGGCTTTCTGAATCAATTCTATTGATGGTATTTTTTCAGTACGACTATCTTAGCTCATACTAATTCTCTTAACCCAGGTGTGTTCTAGGGCCTTATTTTAGGTATTTAAAAAAAATATCCCACTGACCCTACCCCAGCACGGATGTCAAAAGAGATGACTAAAAAAGGGTTTGCTGAAACTGGATGTGTTGGGCCAAAAGGTGTAGATAACACAGTGTAGGTGTAAGCCACAAGACAATGGTTAACATAGAAGAAGAAGAAGGAGTTAAAGAAGAATAAGTTCTCTTGGTCTTTTTTGTGTGCCTGGGAGCTACCGTGATATGGTGGCTAGATACTTGCCTACGGATCGGAGGGTCGTGGGTTCAGGTCCTGATGGTGCAGGACTTTGTTCAAAAATGATTTTCACTTCTAAGTCGACCAGTCTTAACTGGGTACCAGGTACAGTCCAGGGAAGTAAAAGCAGCTTGCGTGATGCTGACCACATCACCCACTGAGTGCTGATTGGTCTATAAAATATAGGTATAGCCCTTTAGGCTCAATCTGCCACAGAAAAAAAGTTCTTTAGGGTTCTTTACTTTACTTTTTCTGCCCTCTTCATGACTGTTGTTGTCGTCCGTCACAAGAGATGATAACTAGTCCTTTCCTCTATTAAATAGAGTGGGGTTTATGATATTGCAGATGAAGGATAGGGCCAGTATTATCAGGTAGTGTAGGCAGAGGATTTGGTCAACATCATCTGGGAGATCCAATTGACAGTCTTTTCTGAATTTTTTTTCCCGAAGTGCTGCTGCTGTTCTGATAACCTCACACACCATTAGTCCCAGTCGAAGATAGGAGCACCAGAACTAGCTGTCATGTGCAGCAACTTCCCATGTTTCGAGATCAGTGAGAACAGTCTTCCACGAGATCATTAAATTGTCCGTGAAATCTTCTTCTTCTTCTTCCATTTACTTGAAATAGATTATATATATCTGCAATGTTGTCTCTTGTATGAACTTCACCATCTTTTGTAATTTACTCAGCAACCCGTAAAGTTTGGCTTGCACCAGTGTTTCACTTGGCCAAAAGCTTTGCCTTGGTATGTTGTACTTGGGTCAGTCTTGGAGGGACGTGATCTGTTGTCTTATGTGCCAGTCCACATGTGCACATGTCTGATTCACCAATTTTAATTGTGTGTACATGTGGTTTGTGTATATGTCAACTGTGTCCCATTCTAAGGCATAGGATAATAACTTGCTCTGGTCTATTCATAATATGGTAATAGTCTTGTGCGAGTTTTGGTGGCTTTTTAATTGATCTGATTATTCTCTTCTTCTGTTGATAAGTGTCTGGTACCTAAGGATGTTCTTCATTTGCACCTTCCTTAGCTAGTTTATCAGCTCTTTCATTTTGAGCAACTCCACAGTGGGATGGTAATCATTGCAGTTACTTTTCACCGGCTGCTTAGTTTGAAGATCCTCTATTTCTGCTCGCATTTTGCATTGACCCATCCGTAAAGAAACAATCCCAAAGATTATGTGGGTAGTCATCATCAAGTAGAGCGAGGGTGGCTGTTTTATGTTGCACACTGTTTTGTTCTTCCTTGTCGAAAAAGTCCTTTCCCTTCTGTTTGGATGTGTATTGGCAACTTACAATCTTTTCAAAGGGGTCCAATCTAGAATAGCATTTAAGGGGCTATCAGTTGAAGGCAGATCATTGGTTTGCCTGCAGTCGTTGGACCTGGTGGATGAAACTGCTTCTTTTTAGCCACCCCATTGCTAGATTTTTAAATCTTTCTTTCATAGGGTGTCCAGGCATGCTAAGTAAACTGTTCTGCTTGTATTAGTATCTTAGTATCTCTTCGTTCTGTCAGTGTTTGGGTCATTGCCATCTTCTCCATCACAGCTATAGGTGTTGGTTTCATCCCACCTGTTGTGACTCTGAGCGCTTGATTTTGCACCTTATCTAACTTATGTAGTGTGGTTTTTTTATGTGAGCTCCATGCAGTTGATTCGTGTTCAATGTGTGGTCACACATTTCGTTGATTAACTTTCCTGAGTATTCTCCCATTTTCACCCCATATTGTTCCACTTAGTTTTCTTAGGATAGCTATCTTCCTTCTGGCTTTGGTTGCTGCCTAGTTGATGTGTTTTCTCCATGTTAATCTATCATCAAACGTGACTCCGAGGTAGGTGGGCTCCTTATCCTCTCTTAGTGGTATTCCATTTATCTGAATGACACCAAATTTTCTTTTTGGGGAGAGGTGAAGAGAGTGGTACTACACTTGTCTCTGTTGAAGCTGACACACCATTTATCAGCCAAGGCAGCCATTGCATCTATGGAACTTTGTAGCAGTCTAGTGGCCACTGTCGCACATTTATTTGTGCACCATAGTACCATGTTGTCAGAGTACATTACAGCATTAATACCATGGTGTAGTTCTGCAATTAGGTTGTTGAGAAACAGTGTTGGGGACAGGACACCACCCTGGGGAACACCATGGCGCAGCAAGACTTTCTTGCTCTTGTATCAATCTATCTGTACTCGGGCTCTTCTGTTATTGAACAATGTATCTTAGAAGAAATGGTAATGAAAGAGTTAAAAGAAACGGTACTTACTTTTTGGAGCTGCCTCTATGGCCATTTTCATCATCTACAGACTGAGACAAGAGGTTGGATGAGGATTCGTTGGACATGATTGACTTCCACATGGCAGTTTTGGACATTTCTTCTGAGATGTTGAGGGTGTCAATGTCAGCTTTAATTGTCCAGTTCTCTATGTTGAAGCCGAGAGCTGCCATGGGGATTGTGGTGAAATCCTCGATGAGTGACCGTCGTTGCTGTAGATCAAAATGGACATCATTTAGGTACAGTAATCAAAATCACACAAAACATTTATCACCACAAAAAGCATCATCATCACAAACACTAATTTAGATTCACTGTCCCCCCACCACGCATGTTGTAAAAGGTGATGAATTAGGGATGTTTTCTTTGAAGTCACAGTGCATCTGTGTGAGAGCCAAGGACCCAACAGTCTGTATACAAATAGGCCAGATCTGTAAAACCGATGTGAATACAAGATTCAAGTTCTAAAAGAAAACCAGTTTTCAGCTGGAAAATTTCAGAAGAAGAAGAAACACTAAATGCCAGAGAAAAAAAAAACAGCGTAAAGGAAGACACATACCTCCTCCTGTTTCATCTCCTCATCCTCCTTCTCCCTTTTGTGTACTTCAGGCATGATGTCATCCAACCATTTCAGTTCCTGCTGTGTGAATATCTTGTCCATCCCCTTGCGGATAAAGCACATGGCCAGAACCTGCAATTGATCATTACACAACTGTGAGCAACACTGGTCAATCTCTAGTTACAACTGTGAGCAACACTGGTCAATCTCAAGTTACAACTGTGAGCAACACTGGTCAATCTCCAATTACAACTGTGAGCAACACTGGTCAATCTCTAGTTACAACTGTGAGCAACACTGGTCAATATCCAGTTACAACTGTGAGCAACACTGGTCAATCTCTAGTGACAACTGTGAGTAACACTGGTCGATCTCCAACTACAACTGTGAGCAACACTGGTCAATATCCAGTTACAACTGTGAGCGACATTAGTTAATCTCCAGTTACAACTGTGAGTAACGCTGGTCAATCTCCAGTTACAACTGTTAGCAACACTGGTCAATCTCCAGTTACAACTGTGAGCAACACTGGTCAATCTCCAGTTACAACTGTGAGCAACACTGGTCAATCTCCAGTTACAACTGTGAGCAACACTGGTCAATCTCCAGTTACAACTGTGAGCAACACTGGTCAATCTCCAGTTACAACTGTGAGCAACACTGGTCAATCTCCAGTTACAACTGTGAGCAACACTGGTCAATCTCCAGTTACAACTGTGAGCAACACTGGTCACGTCTCTTAAGCAACTATTTCTCAGATTGTCTCTCTTCCATAACAAGCAAGCAATCGGTCAGCTTAAAGCTGTGAGCAACATTATTCAACACATGAGTGTTCACACAAAAATAAGCAGTTAGTAAGTTTACACCTATAAGCAACTTCTCCTAATTTGTCTTTACATGCAAATGAGCAATGGTCAACTCACACTGGTGAGCCACATCACTTAATCTATTTTTACATACAAACAGGCAATATGAAAACATATGCGCAGGAAGAGCTATTATAAAACAAACCAAGGTTTTAAAAATGGTGTGAACAATGTTCAGCACACCTTTAACTAATTAAATTTTCTTTTCTCGCTTTCTGTAAAATATTTTTTCATTTATCCCTGTGTGGTTTCTGTTGCCACACGGGAGGTGGGGTGGGGGGGGGGGGGGGGGGGGAGTATACATTGGCTCCTAACAAGCTTGTCATAGAGGATTAAGAGGCAAGGAACCAACAGTCTGCAAACAAATAAGCCAGATCTGTAAAATGGATGTGAATGTGAAACTCAGGTTCTGCAAGAAGACCAAAGTCCTGAAGTAGATAAACAACAGAACTTTCCACAAGACAGCAGGTGAACATGAAGAAGAAGAAATTTTCACCTATTTAATTTTTCCAGTTTCATGTTGACCTTTTTGGTTGTTTAATCCATTGATAATAAGCAACTGCAAATTTCAGCACTGCCTTTGCTTATCCAGTTCTTTCCCTCTGTTGAGCTATCTGTGTGTGTGTGTGTGTGTGTGTGTGTGTCTGTGTGTGTGTATATGAAGAAGAAACTGGACTTCTTGACCATTAAATGTTATACTCACCATGACTGGGAAAGCAATGGAGATGACCTTGACTGACTTAATGGCCCAGAGAAAGGAGAGACACAACACCTGTATGGTAGTGAACAGGTGCACTCGCTTGGTCCTGACATGGCGCAGGTACATGTAGTCTGGCTGGTACTTAGGGGGCATCAGAAGGATCATGATGCGGTCGATCAGCTGCATACCTTTGAGGGAAGACACACCCATGTACAGGAAGACTCCAAACAGCACTGGCATTGGAATGAACTGCAAGACACAATAAAGAAAATTCACTGGGGATATTAATGGGCACATTCTGAGATGAGGTGGACAAAGAATCACAAAACAGACACTAAAACAGGAAAACTAAATGGAATAAGAAAGTCAAATGCCTAAGATAAACTTTACAGCAGGTGCTGAAAAGAAAAACCAGAGGTGTCAAGATTCTGTTCATAATGCTGGAAAAAAAAAATTGCATGGCAGAAGGCTGAAGGACCACTGCAAGACATTCTGCTCAAGTTCTAAGCCAGCAAACTATTTTATTTGCTGTCTTTGAGTGTAATTTACTATTGGCTCTATGTCTGTTTTTCCTCTTTTATGACTTTATTCTTGTTTTTAATCTCTTCTGGTCAGTCCTGCAGTCTTTGTCAGACATTTCATTTCCATGGTTACTAATTTTGTCTGGTTTGTTGTGAGTGACCTGGCACTGGTAGGAATAATAAGCACTTTATGAGATGTTTGTGCTGATTGGGACTGTCTACTTCGTAAACAAAGGTCAAATATCTGCTATGAGAATTAAATTTTTCCTTGACCTTTTCTGACCCTAATGTACCATTTCTGCTGCTGAGTATGTTCTGCTGCAGGGGTGGGAAATCTAATTTCTGCCAAGTGCCATTTAGATATTTATATAATTCTCAGGCCAAATCATATTATCATCATAAAAATTAACCTGCAACATTTGGTGCATCATTTTAATATGGTTGTCCTTGGCAGAAGCAAACTAAAGGATTCTATAGGGCTTAAATGATTCATGGGTCAGATGTTTCTCACTTCGTGGAAGACCTAGAACATCATCATCATTTCTTACTTTACAGCAGTGTTCTTCACAAGTTTTTACACCCACGGACCTGCATGGGGGCAATTTTTTCGCGGCCACCTAACAGCTAACAAAACAACAACAAAACCACACATATACATGGATGTGCACACATATAGCAGTTTATGTATTAAACCCAATGTAACAACATTAACATTTTCAGCTTTTGGGGCATCTGCTGCTGCTTAGTGGTCAGAAAATCTCTGCAGCAATGTAGTGATGGAATCAGGTAGATCAGTGTTTCACAAACTTTTCTTATTTGCAGCGCATTTTTTTCAATGAAAATTGTTCCACAGCACCCTAATCTAAGTAAACCTATAATTATTGGTATGTAAGAGATAAAAAAATTGTGTATCTCTGAATATTTTGCAGTGCCACTGTGGCGGCACGGCGCAGTTTGGGAATCACTGATGTAGATGAATATGCAGAAATATTTGGTTGACTATCAGAAAAATCACCGGCTGAAGAACATTGCTTTACAGTAACACTGTTCTGGCTTGTACAAATATGCTTACCTGAAGAACTGAAGTCAGAAACACAGACAACCCAATGAACAGAAAAATCAGTGTACCAGTTACTCTCTGCTCCCTGGAAAAAAGAAAGATAAATCAAAAGCTTATCCTAATGGATCATATTTGTGCTATCAATATCCTAAGTGGGAGCCTTGGCAGAGCTGTGGCAAGAAGCTTGCCTGCAGGTCTATAGGTCATGGGTTCAATCTATTATCAAGGTGGAGTTTTATTAGTAACCTAGGTTCTCAGGTAAAGAAGCTGCCATGGTGAGTATTGGCTAGATGTGTATTTCGGGCCCTTAGGTTAAAGGTTAAAAACCCACATCAAATAGTATATTTTAAAAAATGGCCTTGGCTCCCAGGTCGACCCGGCCTATAAAGGGTACCAGGTTAAGTCCCAGGAATTCAAGGTGCCCAGTGTGATGTTGACCACATCGCCCACTGCATGCTGACTGGTCTTTATAATATAGATCTAGCAAAGGGTCCTTTTTTCACTTCCAAGGTAGACTGAACTGTGGTTACCCGGAAATGCCATGGAATGTAAAGGTAGTCACTAAGATGTTGATATCAACCACTGAGTGATAATTGGCCCATTCAAAAACAGGCTTTGCACCATAAGTCTCTTATGCCAATGTAACAAAAATGGTCCTTTACTTTTTGTTGAACTTGTATTAACCTCTACAACCCTTCTGGGTTACAACTGAAGTGCATGGTGTAAATTGACCTGATTCACAACTTTAGTGATTGCTGTGATGGTGAGCAATGATGATCCACACACTGCAGTGCAGCACTTGATGATGGTAACAGTGTATGGTGTCATTTAATATAATGAATATCTTAGTAAAGTAAAGGACCCTTTTCCCCGCCTTCAGGTGTATAGGGCATATAGGGCTAGACCTATATTTTATAGACCAATTAGCATTTGGTGGGTGATGTGGTCAGCATCACGCCAGCCGCCTTTACTTCCCAGGACTGCAACCAGTACCCACTCAAGGCTGGGTCGACCTGGGAGCCAAGGTCATTTTTTAAAGAAAAAAAGTCCGGCTCCGCCAGGGAGCAAACCAACGACAATGAATGTCTTGTGTAGTTATTTCGTTGTTGTTGCTTTTTCATATTGTGTCTGTGTAAATATATATATATATATATATATATATATATATATATATATATATTATATATATATATATATATATATATATATATATATATATATATATATATTATATATATATATATATATATATATATATATATATATATTGTATTCACATTCATACTGTTCTATCCTTAAAAGACAGACAAATGGAATGTAATAAGATCTACCAGTCTCCAAAATGATACTGTCTAATAACCTCCCTAACACCTCTCATGGAGAGTCAATCAGGCAACCAATCATTCAGCTGACTAATCACTTAGCCAACCAATCAATCAGCTGACCAATCACTTAGCTAACCAATCAATCAGCCAAACAATCATTCAGCCAACTAATCACTCAGCCAACAAATTAATCAGCCATCCAATCATTCAGCTGACCACTCACTTAGCCAATCATTCAATCAGCCAACCAATCATTCAGCTGACCACTTAATCAACCAACTAATCAATCAATCAGTTGACTAATCAATAAGTCAACCAATCTATCAACCAACTTTTTAATCAGCCAACCAACCAGTAAAGTCAACCAACCACTAAATCAGACAACCAATCAATCAGCTGACCAATAAACAAGCTGACCAATCAACTGACCAATAAACAAGCTGACCAAACAATCAAACAATCAGCTCACGATTTAATCAGCCAACCAACCAACCAAAAAGTCAACAGAAAACACCTGACACAACACAATCTTGTGTCTTTTTATTCTTTGGAACCAGTCAGTCAACCAAATAACCAAGCAACCAGACAGTGTATAATAAAGCTAACACGCAAAACTTGGATCTTTCTTCCAGAGAATCAACCAACAAATTTATGTCTTCTTCAGTGACTCTTCTCCTTTTTCGAAGTACAGAAGACCTACCTGACTCCCAGAAATTTGGGTCTCTCGCCTGGAGCTGAACATTGGGACTCCTTCTTCAAGCTGTTGACATGGTTGATGGAGAGGACAGTGGCGGCCACAAACCAGGGCAAGCCCAGGAATGAGCAGATCACAATCAGGACAGCTACAATAAAGAGATCCAAGTGATAGCCTGATCCTTTCTGCAACAACAGGAGCATATATCAGTACAAGTGTATCTCTCTGTAATGACAGCAGCATGCTTTAATAGAAGTATATCTTTCTGCAACCACAGCAGCAAGTATCAATACTTGCACGTGTGTGCATCAGACAAAGATTAAATTTTAAGCAGAACAAAATTAATTCATGACTATAAGAGTTAACTATCAGACTTATTGTTGTCCAGAAAGTTATTCCTGTAAAGCTTTCTGTCTCAACATACTCCATCTTATTAGATACTGGCCGTGCACACCATAAAATCACATGTGTTAATATATTTATACCACTGAAGCTCTTCCTTATGTTCACCAGCTGTAAATTTCAGCAGAAAGTTCTGACTGTTCAACAACTTTTGGACTTTTGTTTTGTCCCAAAACTTGAATTCTACATGCGCATCAGTTTTACAAATCTAGCTTTTTTTTATATGCAGACTGTTGGTTCTTTGCATCTCAGGCAGAAGCAATCAGAATGCATCCAGACTTCAGGGGGAAAATTTCCAATCAGTCATGGAATGCACACAATAATCCAATTAGTCGCCTTCTAATTTTTGCTTTTTTTTTTTTTTTTAGGCAGGCTGTGGGTGTATTCCCCCCCCCCCCCCCCCCCCCGCTCCTTAAAAAAAAAAAAAAAAAAACTCGACCCCAGAACCAACATGAGGAGATGTGATTGACATCATACAGGCCAGATTTACTTCCAGGGGCAGAGAAATATACGAGGCAATAAACTGGGCAATACAATATATTGATTATTTGGAACAGAAAATGTGGACCTACCCACATTAACTCACTCAAGGATGCTGCTTACCTTGAGTTTGTTTTCCTTCCTGTTGACAATGACAGCAGTGATTTGCTGGTCCATGAAGATCAGAATGGTACACAGCAGTGCTGGAATCACAGCTGCCAGCGCTGTCCACCAAGGGTTGTAACCAAATGGGCTGACGAACCAGCCACGTTTGGGATTGGTTGGCTGTTGTTGAAAAGCATTTAACAATAATATACCAGATCTGTGTATGATTACAACTAACAACAGGTGTCTTTGCCCAGATTTACAAATAACAAACCAAATGTAGATGTTTCTTTGCAAACAATAAAACTATGATAATTCTTCTTTATCACCTTTTAAACAGGGGCAGGCACTGCATATTGCTGTTTAATCCTAAGCTGCAATATCTGCGCCTTTTTATCTAAGACATCTAATTTTGGTAAACCCCTAACTAACTGCATCTTATGATATGCGTGTTGGGGGGGGGGGGAAGAGGGGGGGGGAAGAGGGGGGGAGAGGGGGGGGGAAGAGGGGGGGGATAAGAAGAGGGGGGGGGGGGAGGGGGGGGAAGAGGGGGGGAAGAGGGGGGAAGAGGAGGGGGGGAAGAGGGGGGGAAGAGGAGGGGGAAGAGGGGGGGGAGATTAGGGAAGAGGGGGGAGGGGGAAGAGGGGGGAGGGGGAAAGGGGGGAAGAGGGGGTGGGGGAGGGGGGGGAAGAGGGGGGAGGGGGGGGAAGAGGGGGGGGGAAGAAGAGGGGGTGGGGGAAGAGGGGGTGGGGAAGAGGGGGGAGGGGGGTGGGGGGAAGAGGGGGGAGGGGGAAGAGGGGGGAATAGAAGGGGGGGGGTGGGGGGAAAGAGGGGGGTGGGGGGGAAGAGGGGGGGGGGGGGAAGAGGTGGGGGGGGTGGGGGGAAGAGGGGGGGGTGGGGGGAAGAGGGGGGTGGGGGGAAGAGAGGGGGAGAAGGGAAGGAGAGAGGGGGGGAGGTGGGGAAGATGGGGGAGGTAGGGGGGGAAGAGGGGGGTGGGGGAAGGGGGGTGCTATACCCAAAATGGGAAAATGGGTGTTCCAGAACACACACAGGATAAAAAACAAGATTTATGAAAATACTACGACTAATCTAACCACCCAGTCAACCAAATAAAATAATCAATCAATCAATCAAATGACTTATAACTCAGACAAACAATCACTCAATCAGACAATCAACTAAATAATCATTTAACCAAGTAATCAGCCAAATAATCAACAGCTTTTGCCACAATTTTCCCCAATTTATTGCTTTCAACAAAACTGAACCATATGCTCTCTCCATCCCCATCCCCCCCCCCCCCCCCCACATTGCCCTATACCTTTCTCTCTCACTCATTCACTTATACATACACACAAATGGAACACAATCAGCTGTAACATGTCAAGAGAAGAAAAACACTTACAGAAAAGTTCTGTGGAACATTAAGCTTGGGTGTATGAATGCCCACCATAAAATCCAGCAAGACCATGCTCAGGATGGCAATCAACACGGCAAAGTCACTCATGATTCCTCTTATCTGGAGAAAATCCAATTGGGAAACGCTATCATATCTCCAGCACACAGATCTAACACAAAAATATGCCTACATTACAATAGATGAAGACAAAGCTGTATAGTACACGAGAGGATATGGACTGCACGATAGCTTTCATAAAGACTATCGGCCTCCTGATATAAGTTTTCTAAGAGAAGGATTGAAGAAGAAGAAGAAGACAATGGATTAAGTGTCAAATTGTCTATATAAATATAAATCTGGTGCCATATGTCTAATACACTACTTGAATAAAGATATTCCTTCCCTACTTTCCTAACAATGAATGTCGGCTGCCATAGATATGTGCCTTAAGACCCCAATCTTGTCAACAATGTGACTCTCATACCACTGCCTAAAAGACATAAGAATGGTCTTTTCCTAAACTAATTACCCATAGCATAAATCGAATTTTGGTACAGCACCACTTAGACCATAACAAGGCAAGAGGTGGACAAGGATAAAAGTGGGAAGGTAACACAAGGAGATTGTCAGAAGTCTGCTACAGTGAATAGTTGAAGTGAGAGACAGAAAGTTTTAAAATCCAATGAAGCCAACCTTCATGGTTGAGATGACACATGATTTATAGCATAGACATGTACGGTTTGCAGGATCACTGTCTGCTCTATCTACTGTGGAACCAACAAGAGCTCATCATGTGGGTTTCTAGGTCCCATTTTAGGAAGACAACAAAAAAAAACAGACCCATTGCTCCTAACATGCATATTTAAAAGGGCGATTTAATAAGGATTTGCTAAAACTGGATATGTAGAGCTGAAAGGTGCAGATAAAACAAAAACTGTCTTAACTGCCTGCAGATTTATGGCTACATGGCTAGTACCGTTGCCACCAATAAAAAGATCTTTATTGCTTTCTGAAGATCAATCCAGGGTTGTCCAGCTGGTCTTTCTATCAGAAAGCACCCTCACGCTGAGAATAAAATTTGGGTCTCCTACATGACAGCCCAGAATCTTAACTACTTTCTAATCACTGTGCAGCCAAGCTATGGATGGAGCTGAGATACAACACAAGGTGCCAACAACCCTTTGAATGATGAACACAGAAAGAAGAAGGAACCAAGAGAAGAACTATTTTGTTGCCAGTGCTAGCTCAACCCTAGCTCTGGGATGTAGTGTCCTAGTGTGAGATGTGTTGTGCTGATGGACAATATTAGCATGCTTTGTTTTAATATGTTGACCCACCTGCTGCTTGTCTTCTTTGTGCTCTGCAACATACTGACAAGTTCAAGGTTTATACTGGTAGTTTGAGGAGTTTCATTCTCTTTTATATGACCACACCACCATAATCTCTGACTGATTGATTGGCACCTTTCTGTTCTTCCAGACAATAGTGTTATATTGGGCTATGAGAAGGCATGGGACTCACAGCCCATGGCGATGGCAAGTGTGACTAGCAAGACCCGCCTGTGTCAAGAAAAGTCTTCCACAATGATAGCATAGGATTTTAGGACCATTGTTGTTAACATTTGTGTTTAATCTGTTTCTTCTCAAATGCTCAGCTCTCATCTTTTCTGCAGTCATTTCTTCCTTCATTCTCATTCTCTTCCTGATATACACTCTCCCCACAACACGGTCCATGGCATTTTGTTCTCACAAGTCCACCTCAATACCTGTATCATTCATGTCCCACTTGCACACATCTTTATACTGTAGTAGAGGTCGGCCTCAACCTATTCTACCCGTCTCTTTTCACCATAAAGGATCTCCTTAAGGACTCTGCCATCCTCCATTCTCCAGGTGTGACCCAGCCACCTTAGTCTTCGTAGACTGAGCATTGAGAAGACTGTCGTATTAGCTGCTCTTTCCAGTACCTCTGTGTTTGTTATTTTATCCTGACACTTAATGCCAAGTATTCTGCTTAGGCATCGCATGTAAAAGCTCTTTAGCCATCTCTCCTGGTGTGAATAAGTTGATCAAGTTTCACTGCCATAAAGCAGAGAGGTGAGAACACAAGCCACAAACCATAATCTCTATATGTGACTATATGGAACAATAATATCTGATGAAAATCCAGTCCAATGAGGGTGATAATCTCACTCTTAACATACTTGTGAAAAAAAATAATATAAAATTTATAAATCAACTTACCACAGTTGGGAAAAAGGCAGCATTTCTAGACAGCTTCAATGACATGGCCAATGCAAAGGTGCCAAGAAAAAGGAGACAGGAGAAAAAAAACACATCCGGGACATAAAAGGGCGTGCTACATCCTGGTCCAAACAAAACCCCCTCAACCTTTTCACAGGCCTCTCTGCCCTCTTTTGTGAAGGCATCAAAATCTGTGTAGTTCTGAAAAGTCCCATTCAAGCTCTCGTTGTAGGGGACAGCCATGCCATCAATGATGGAGAAGTTGCCAAATATGACGCAAGAACAGTTGTAGTTTAAAACAGCATCTGGATGTAAGTTTGGAGGGTCATCTTTTGCTATTTGGAACAACTAAAGAAGAAAAAAAGAGAATAAAAATATGGTCATCAGTATTTTTTTTCGCTGATGTTTGACATAAAATATCATATCTAAGAAATCAACACTGTTTTCTTCTCCTCTGTCGTGGTTTTACTCATGTTATAAGAGACTTTGTATGATACTTCTACACTTGATGATGCTACCCAAAGTTACACCAGAGTGTGTATAAAAATACAAGAAAAAAAAAACTTGTAATGACTTCAACAATGAACTGGATGATGATATTTCTGTTTGAATGACATAACAGTGATTAGTGATTAGAAAGGATTATCATCACAGCACTCCGGACAGATCCATAAGTGCTCCAAATCTCCTCCTCAAAAGCTACACAAGTGTAAAACAACTGATGACGCCTGTTCTGTGTTGGTTAATGAAACCTCTTGTCCCCTTAGTGAAATGTTCATTTCTTGCAGCTCCAGGCTGCACCCCCATGTCCATCAGTCTAGACAGGGATATGGAGTCATGCCCTGTGGCGTGCTCCTCGGTGCAGCGCATGGCATTGATAACACACCACTTCTGTCCAGTACTGGGCTAGCCATAGCAACTGCAGTGTCAGCAAGATAGTCTGCAAGCTCATTCCCTTAAACACCCGCATGACCTGGCACAAAAATGAAGGTTAGGGCAGATATTCGTGAAGTGCTCAGTGTTTCAATCCATTTTTGCCTGATAAATCCAACTTGGGTTTTTTTAAGCATATTCATCGAGTCACTAAGAAAGCAGACGTGTGTGAACTTTTGAATACCAAGCCATGCTAAAGCCCTTGCTACAGCCATAGTTTCTATTGTAAGGCTACTAGTTGTAACAGCAAAGGCGCCATTAATCTCCTTGATGGTTCCCTCCTTGAGCTTACTGTGAAGGCCCATGCACTTCGCTTGCCCCTAATTACTGATCCATCTGTGTAAACTATAGCATCATCTTCATCTGTTTTTGTCAATCAGTGTTCTGACTAAAGTGTCAACAATGTCAAAAAACTGCTCTCCACAGCTTCCATCAAGTGTGATATGGACTGTAATAATAATGTTTGGAGAGGGAGGCATAATTATCCATTCATTTCCAAAATTAATGTCAGTAAGGCGGCAAACATGTTCAATGACATCCTCAGCCTGATCGATCCAGGATTTGCCTCGTTTGAGTCTCTTTTTTTTTTTTTTGCTTGAATAATTCCTCATAAAGTGGGTGTCGATGGTCTGACTTCACTTTGAGGAAAGCAACAGCCCTGGATAGCTTGATTCTGTTTTCCATTGTGGAGAAATCCAAGAGGTAACACATGGATTTACAGGAGGTGTCTCTAGTGCATTATTCACATAATATTATAAAAGAATCTGTATAAAACACAACATAAGAAGTAAAACAAACCTTCTGAATGGCTTCAACAATGAAGATCAGAGAGATTAGGGCAGCAAAGCTTTCCTCTGTGAAACGAGTGATGTAGCGGACAAGGGCACTGAGGTCAAAGGCCACCATGATAAGTAAGATGGCTGCTGTCCAAATCCCAATCCACAAACGCATCTCCAAGTACTTGAGCCCATTTTCTCTGTGGAGAACAGGATAGGCTAATTGAAATATCGCATCTGAGATATTATATTTCAAATATCACATCTGAAGTATTACATCTGAAATATCACATCTGAAGTATTATATTTGAAACAACAGCTAAATTATTATATTTGAAATATCACATCTGAATTATTATATTTGAAACACAACAGCTAAATTATTATATTTGAAATATCAAATATGAAATTTTATAAAAAAAATTATATGAAGTATCATATTTTGAAATATTCCATCTGAAGTATTATTTTTGAAATATATCATCTGAAGTATTATATTTGAAACACCACAGCTAAATTATTAAATTTGAAATATCATAACTGAAGTATCATATTCGAAATATGACATCCAAATTATTTTTTTTGAAATATCACATCTGAAGTATTATATTTGAAATATTGCATTTAAATTATTATATCTGAAATATCACATCCAAATTATTATATCTGAAATATCACATCTGAAATATTATATCTGAAATATGACATCTGTAAGCCAGACTGTGAAACTGATGTGCTAAACAAACAAAAATTTAGTTCTGGAACAAGAGTAAAGTCAAGAAGTGGTTGGACAACCAAACTTTTCACCGGGGTTTACAGGCAGTGACATGAAGAAAATATGAATCACATATTTGAAATATCACATCTGAAATGCACCACCTGTTGATAGAGGATAAAGTGTGATATTATAATATGTCTTTCATTATAAAGTGAAGGAGCTGCTGGCTGAGGTGTTAGAATGCTAGGCTTTTATTTAGGAGACCCAGGCTTGAAGCCTCAGGAAGGTGACAGAATCCAGGTAGTCAAATCTATCTTCTTTAAGGAGAAAAACATATGCTATGTGAAACATTATATTTCTTCTTCTTCTTTTTCACCAACCGTAACTCTAGTGGAAAGTTCTGGTTGTTTGTCCACCATCGAACTTTAGTAGCATTCAGAATCTGAGTGTTGAGTGCACATTCATTTTACAGATCTGGCTTATTTGTATGCAAACTGTTGGTTCCTTGCGCTCTGAAACCAGAGGATGCCCCGAATTAGTCGACTTATACGGCATGCTTGTGGGGAGGCAGTGGGTCTATTATTCTTGTCCTCACAATGGGCCCCTGGAACCCACACAGGACAAACATTACAACTGAAATGTCACACTTGAAATTTCACATCTGAACTACATCTCATTCTGTTATTAATTATCAAGTGGAGGACTGGCTGCCTGACCAGTCAGAATAAAGTAAAGTAAAGATCCCTTTCCTAATGCCCATCGGGCATATGGGAAGAGCATACCACATTTTTACAGACCAATCGCCACTAGGTCAAAGGATAGAGAACACAAAGAGAGACACCCTGGTCCTAAAGGTTGGGGGTTGAAGCGTGGGGCCAAAATCCCCACCTTCGTAAAACTTTATCTCATCACAAAAAAGATATCTAAGCCTAGGTTTCGGATGGATTTAAATGGACAATGAACCTAGAACGCTAAAGGTCACCAGAGAGATGAATCGTCGTAGACCACGAAGGAGACCAAGAAGAAGATGGATAGATAATATCTAGACAGACCTGCAAACACTTGGAAAGAGAAGGCCTACCAGAGAGATTAATGGAGGCGGGTGATGTCTGCCGCAATGAACCTCAAGGGCTCAGAATGATCAAGAAGAAGAAGAATTGCCACTAGATAGGTAATGTGGTCAGCATTACGCCAGCCACTAGTCAGAATGCACAGCTCTTATATGGAAGACCTGTGTTTGAATCATCAGTAAGGTGAATAGTAATGTGGTTTTTCTTAACGACACTCCACTCCAAGATGTGGAGTCGTACACCTATTTGGGCAGTAATGTAGACAAAGATGAGGAAACTGATAGAGATATAAAATTAAGAATACAAAAGGCAAGAGGAGCTTTCATAGCACTAGGGGATTTGTGGAGGTCAAAAGAAATTAAAAGAAATACTAAACTAAAAATGCTTAATTCTAATGTCACATCAGTACTTGTGTTTGTATAATGCAGAAACATGGAGAATAACTAAGGCAACTAATAATAAATTGCAGACATTCATTAACTGGTGCCTGTGCAGAACAGAGGGAATTAAATGGTATGATAGAATCACTAAAATAGAGCTTTGGGAGAGAACTAAGAAAGCTCCAGTGGACCAAGAGGTGAAGAAAAGACGCTGGCGTTGGATAGGACACACATTGAGAAAACTGAGAACAGGATAACTAGTATGTCTTTGCACTGGAACCCCCAGGGGCATAGGAATAAAGGAAGGTCAAAAAACACATGGAGAATGGTGGCTGAAGCATGAAGTTAAAAAGATGGGGAGGACATCGGGAGAGCTGCAAGCGATAGCAAAGGACAGAATGACTTGGCTTGAGTTGGTTGAGGGTCTATGCTCCGCTGGGCACTAGAAAACCAGAAGAAGAAGAAGAAAGTGACAGAGTGCAGTTCTGCCACTTGGAGTTTGGGGAATGAACCTTAAGTATTAAGGTTCAATTCATACCGCAGTCGATTTAAAAAAAAAAAAAAACATATTAATAATTTCAGACAATAACATGAGAGTTGAACTGTGGAAGACACTGGTGCAACGTTGATAATATTCCAAAGACAGCAGTGGCAAACTGTAACCAAACTTCCTGGTGGAGATGGCACAGACTTTTTTTCCTTCTTCTTTTCAATTTAAGGTGAGGGACAATTTTGTTTCACAATGGACATTTTTTTGAAATCCTAACTTGCACAGTTCATGACAACTGCTCTAGTCATGCAGCCTCAAATTCTTCACTGCCCTAAATCCTCAGGGTCATGACCCTCCTTTCCTTCACTGCCCAAAACCCTCATGTTCTTGACCCCCTTTTCCTTCACTGCCCAAAATCTTCAGGATCATGACCTTTTTTCTTACACTCTCTAAATATTCAGGGTCATGACCCTTTTTTCTACTCTGCCCTTAATTGTCAGGGTCACGACCCCTTTTCCTACACTGCCCCAAATTCTCAGGCTTAAGATCCTCGTCCTGCCTTAATCTACACTATATATAATAAATAATGTTACTGTCCATGCCTGCTTGCATGCATATAATCATAAACATATCAATATTTAATTATATGATCCCCCCTGTTGGTTCGGGGGCCCTATTGTGCGGAAAACAAGAATAGACCCACTGCCTACCCAAAAGCATGTCGTAAGAGTCGACTAATTTTGAGTTTCCTTTGAAGTCAGAGTGCATCTGCCTGAAAGGCATGGAACCAGCAGTCTGCTTACAAATGAGTCACGTCTGTCAAATAGATGCACACGCAACACTCAGATTCTGGAACAGGACTGCAGTCCAGAAGTGGACGAACAACCAGAACTTTCCACCAGAGTTTACAGCTGGTGACCGTGAAGAAGAAGAAGAAGAAATATATAATAAAATTAACTCCCAAAAACATTAGGTCCTAAAGTCGGAGGCAACCAGCCAGGAGGGGCACTGTAGAAATCAGGATGCCATGCAAAAACGCTATATATGCTCCCCAAAACAATTAACATTATATTTAAACAGATGATACAAATGTCATATGAACATTTATCAAAATAACATTGTATTTAAATATATGTTTAAAATAAACACACACACAAAACTATCAAGAGCTTACTTGCAAAAATGATTAAGAATTGTCTCAAAGACCAAGACTGGGCCGGTGCTACCTAAGATTGTGAGAGGTTGCCCAGCAAACAGTGAGTAGATCACCCCACAGATGGCTCCAGACATGATGGACTCTAAGGCTGCCTGGTAACAACAGTCATATTAAAGTAGATCAATGTATTCAACACTTCCTGATCTGACAAAATGTCAAATTTCTCTCAGTCAGTGTATTTAGATCTTCCAGTCCCTGTTAACAACAGTCAAATTTCAGTTTATATCTTCCAGTCCCTAGTAATGACAGTCAAATTTCAGTCAGTCAATGTATTTAGATCTTCCAGTCCCTAGTAACAACAAATTTCCTTTTGTCAAAGTATTTAGATCTTCCAGTCCCTGGTAAAAACAGTCAAATTTCATTCAGTCAATGTATGTAGATCTTCCAGTCCCTGGTAAAAACAGTCAAATTCATTCAGTCAATGTATGTAGATCTCCCAGTCCCTGGTAAAAATAGTCAAATTCTTTCATTCAATGTACGTAGATCTTCCAGTCCCTGGTAACAACAATCAAATTTCAGTCAGTCAATGTATTTAGATACCTCCGTCCCTGGTAACAACAGTCACTTCTCAGTAAATCTTGTAAAGTATGCATTCTGAGTGACATAATAAGTATGCTCAGGAAGACAGAGATGGGCGGATCCTGAAGACTTTGGTTGAGTCTCTGAGGCAGTCACAGCTGAGAAATATCAGTTTCATTTTCATGCCAGGGTAAAAGAAATAAACAAGCTGATAGGATTGCAGGTAGGGCTGATATGGAGGGTTGAAGAGCAATAGTCCAGGCTCATATACTGAATGCTTTATAAGAAGTAAGACATTTCTGACAACTAACTCATTTAGTACCAAAAACGCAAGATGTGGCCTGTGGCCTTTTAAAAGAGCAAACATCAATTTGTGTAACTTTATCATGTAAAAAATTGTTTTCTGATTTCATTAAAGCAACTTGGTGTCCTCAATAGCAACATCTATGCTTCGTTTCACTACAGCATTTGTTTGTTTTCAAAAAGTGTTTCCACTGATAAAAAGTTGAAAGTGGCTATTTTTGTGGAAAATCTCTTGGAATTAAAAGAGCTAAGTGATGACCTTATCAGCAACCATGATCAGACTGCAACAACAGTAAGTGAAAAAGGGTGTTGCCGGACAACAGCACTATGCAGTAAGTCACAGAAGAATAATAAACCAATTCACAGCTAGTACTGTCAGCTTTAGAATTTGGTAATCTTTTCCATTACTGTTTAACTTTTCTTCCAATAGTTTGATTACTTTTTCATTTTTCACACAATCAAATGCTTTCATATTGTCAATAAAGCATAAGTAAAGATAATTTTTTTACTTCTGAGTTTTGAGGATGTATATGGCATTGTTTGTACTTTTTTCTTCTACAAATCCATACTGTTATTACAATATTTTGTTTTATAATATTCTATAATATTCTTTGCATTATTCTCAAAAGACCACATCATCGCTGTGAGTAAATTATACATCTTTACTCCAAAGGATTATTTCCTGGTATTCATTTTAGACTCTGTCAACTTAGAAAACCAGATCAAATTAAAAAAAAAAACAGTCTAATTGCCGGGACTTAGAATGTAAAATCGGCCTACTTACCATATTCAAATCTGTTGCATTCCCTAACAAACCACCAAATGTGATGATTGGCGTCAAACAAGCAAAATACAAGAACACAATAGAGGCTACAGCCTGTACAGAAAGAGCATCTTTGAAATCACTGGGGTACCATGGGATTTTTCTTTTGATGTCTGCAATGAGCCCACCAAACAGTCTGCAAGAAACAGAAGGAGGGAGATTAGGATGGTGATAAAAAAGATCAATGTGATGATAAACTCTATTTCCTCTTCTTTATCTCCAAATGAAACACTAGTGTGTCAGCTGCAGTTGAAAGTTGTCTAGCACAAATGTAAAATTAAAACGATAAATATTATAAATTTTTAATTATAAATGATAGGTTTTCATGAGAAGATTGTGTCATGAAATATTTCGTTATTACAATATTTGTTTGTGTACATATCTCTGACACACTTTTTTAGATATTATGTTTTTAATAAACTTTTATTCAACTCACGCATGGCTTTTGCTGGGTCAAAACTTTGCCTTCGAATTTAAAACTATTTTAAACTAGTAAACATAACAGATGACCCAAAATTTGTCAGCATAACCCACCTTCCAGTTCGTACAAGGGTTGGGTCAGTATGGTCCTCTGGTTCCTCTAACAACATGGCTTTCCCGTTGGGCTGTGGTGGCCCTGAGGAAGCTGTTTTCCTGCCCTCCTATTTATAGGATAAAAGAAACATGGGATAACATGCAAAGTGACAAAATATCCACTTATTTGTGTATAAAAAACAAAAACAGAAAGAGATCTTAAAATCAAAAACACAAAACCACACACAGAGAGATGAGGATTACAAACAAACATGAACTTTACTGAGATAATATAAAGGGAAGTGGAAAAGGTGCACAATACAGGTTTTAGTGCAAAAAATTTTTAAGGGGCTTCGATCCAACAGGAAGATGAAAAGCAGAAGGAGGAGAGAAAGGAGGATGGGGAGCAGGAGAGAGAGGAGGCAGGGGAGGATAAGATCTGAAGAAGAAGCAGCAGGAGGCAGGGGGAGGAGGAGAAATTGAGGAGAAGATGACCATAAAGAAGAAGAGCTATAAGAAGAAGCAGCAGCAGAAGAAGAAGAGAAAGAGGACAGAAGACGAATGAGGTGATGAGGTGATTATGATAAAGAATAAGAGGTGAAAGCAGAATAAGATGTGGCAGATACAAAATGATTGAAATCTCTCAAACCGACAGCAGAAAATCACTTATGATCTCAGAAGTTCAACAAATGATTGATGACAATTCTTGCCCAGATGCTGTGATTATCAATGTTGATAGCTCTGTGCTAAGGGGTAAAAATAGCTCATGGAGGCTCTTAGCATAAGAAAGTGGATGCTGCTTAGTGCAACAAAGCCTCATATATTCTAGTTTGAGAATGGAAGTGGAGACAGTCACTGCAGCCTTCCACTTGCCTAAGAACCAGCTGTACACATGTTTAATTGGAAGTGACTCCCACAGCATGTTGAGAAAAGTAGAAACAGGTATGCTCTGTGCAGAGTGGCAAGCACTGCTTCAGAGGTCCTGAATAATTCTATAAAATCTTCTCCAATCAACTTTTCTTCTTCTTCCTTGTATCTCCAAATTTCCAGGGCCCCACGGGCTTGGGGGAAGACTCACTGCCTCCCTAACAAGCATCTTGTAAAAGTTGACTAGGGATTTGTCTCTGAAGTTGGAACACATTTGTCTGAGCAGCGGAAAAAAAAACCGGCAGTGAATACAAATCTGTAAAACTGATGTGCACACAAAACTCAAATTGGGAAACAAGACTAAAGTCCAGAAAAGTGGACAAACAACCAGAACTTTATACCAGAGTTTGCAGTGAATGTGAAGAAGGATCTCTTAATGAAATGAAGCATACACCCTCAAACAACTCAGTCTTGTTAATAAATTATTGGATTATGAGGTAATGAGTCTAACTCCAATCTCTATTAGTTGCTTATTATGCCAGGTATGTTAGTTTTTGTGTGTGCTTCTTATGCCATGTATGTCAGTTTACAATCATAAGTGAACATGAAATCAGAACACTGATCATGTTGGCTCAGCTTTAAAGGAAGCCTACTTGGTCTTGGTTGGTCACAAATATCCAAGCACAAAAACTGAGTTCTATGAGAGTTAGAGATGGCCACTTTTTTTAAAAACACTTTGTGATGATTATTGGCACTTTTTAAGACACTGGTGAGTAGTAGCACTTCTTAAGGCACTCTGTGGTATTGCCACTTTTAAAGACACTGTGTGGTTAGTACTGGCACTTTTCACTGGGGTGTTGGGAAATAAACAGGCAGATACACTGGCTGGTTCTGCACAACTTGGTGGTGAACTGATGCATCACAAGCCAGATGTTGTAAGGGCCTTTTAACGGCAAGTGGACAGCGTGGAGGCACAGTTGGGTCATCACGGTCTGGGGAGAAGGGTACTGAGAGGAGTGACTAGGAGATCTGGTTGACGCTCAATACCCAGAGGAAAGGCGAGAAGGATAAAAATATACAGACTGTTACTGGTACTAGCAGAAATGGAACTCTCCGCTTGCTGCTGAAGATGGGGACGGTGTGCTTATGGGAATGTCCTGCATTCTGTGATGTGGATTCTCAATTAAACATTATGACTGATAATAATAAACCTTACCTGTGAAGGTACAGAATGTGGAGGTTCAATACGAATAGATGGATCCCATTCGCCAGGGGGCAGCACTGTGACCTGGTCCAGGAACTCATCGATCCCAGCCAGGAGGTCCTCACGATTGTGCGCATGGTATGCAACATCATGAAAAATCTGAGGTAAGTTAGTGGTAAATAATGTATTAAAATAAAAATCAATCAAAAATGCAATTCTCAACACTTAATTAACCTCCTCACATTTAAACAAAAGAATATTGTAATTAGACAGGAAACTGGAAACAGTAGACTCTGCAACCATAGATAGGTGCAGGGAATTCAAGACTAGGGATTCAAAGCTGTGCCATGTAGACTGGCAGCTCAGAATACTGAACATGTGCTGCAGTCATGCTCCACACATGCAGTATAGGTCCCTGGTCTGACCGGTTGACATTCTGGTGGAAACAAGGCTCTGTGTTGATGGGCAGACAAAGTGCATAGGGGTTCATAGCAAAAACAAATGGACATCGCTTAGTGCAACAAAGCCTGGCATATGATATCATACCATTTATTTTGAGAATGGAGGTGGAGGCAGTTACCAGCCTTCCGCCGGCTTGAGAATCAGCTGTACACACATGCCGTGATTGTAATTGATTCACAGAGCATGTTGAGAAAGGTGGAGACAGGTATGCTCCGTGCAGAGTGGCAAGCATCACTTCAGAGGTCTTTATTTTTTGTCTAGAAGAAGCCCTGGCTAAGATAAATATAACAGCTACTACAGACCAATAACCTACTAAAGCACTGAGGGATATAAAGTATTATAAAAAGACTGTCTCACCTCGTCAGACATCAGTGTTGCAATAGATCTCCCAATCTCGTGAAACTTGTTCTGGTTGCCCATGGGGCCTAACAACAGAAAGATAAAGCGGGTTGGTACTGGGACCTCACAGAGGTCCCCGATGACTTGAGCTTTCGTCAAGCGAACAAACGCAACAATCTGATGGTTGAGGTAATCCACTTCCCCCACAAGGATGTTTGCGGCTTCAGCTCCAGGCGGGATCTTCTTCATGAAGTGGAGGTTCTGGGAAAATATAAGTCCAGGACAAGGGCGTGAACATATTGCAACAGGGTACTTTTTTAACTCTTTGAGCACCAAGAACTACCCATGTGTTATATCGGTGACTCTGTACATGGTGTACATTCCTGAACTCTTTCTGTGGAACTCTTCTGTTGTGTTTATTCATTCTGTCTTAATGTTTCTTTTAAAGTGGAATGAATTGAAGGAAGGTGAATAAATAAGAGAAATGCTTAGACAACTACTGGTTTCAACAGTTATAACAGAAAGAAGATGGTCATAAATTGGGCACATCCTGAGCAGAAGCTAACAGAGAACCACCAAACAGGTGCTCACATGGGAAATAAACAGACTGAGGAGGAGAGGACATCCTAAAGAAACCCTACGATGAAGGTTTTTGAGATAGGCCCAAGGTGTTGGACTGGATTCCATCCCTGATACAGAACCAAATGCTGCAAACAGTGCCAGAATAGACGGAATGAAAGAACACACTGTGAGTCCTCTGTAGCCTATAACAGCACACACACACACACAGGCGGCGGTGATGACAGTTTCTTTAATTATTTCTGCAACACAGTTTAATTAATCTAGCCCATTCAAAGCCAGCAATAGTTTGAGTCTAACTTTGGGATACAATGTGTTAGTTTAATAGATATATCAGACAGAAAGAGTTAAGAGAGGCTGGATAGACAGACAAATAATAACAGGAGAGAGATGGACAAGAAAAAGAATAAGAAGTTATAAGGGGAGAGAGCTGATCCTAGGTTCTTTCATGTGCAAAGAGTGTAATTTACAATGGTTACTATCAAATGAGAAAGATGAAGAAATCCTTCATCATCATCATCATCGATTTCCACTTCTGCCTTTAAGGGCTGTGGAACATGAACAGTCTGCGATCTATTCCTCGATGGGTAGCACTTGATACTGCTGCTGCATGTTGATGTAGAATGTCTTTGATGAACACAAACAATCTGCGATCTATTGCTCGATGGGTAGCACTTGATACTGCCGCTGCATGTCGATGTAGAATGTCTCTGATGCCATCAGTCTGTGTTCTCCTTGGGTGCCCTCTTGCTTTCATGTCAAATCTTTTCAGATGAAGCCCCTGTGTTGGTAGTTGTGGCTGCATTCTACTCAGATGACTGAACCATATGATCTTCTGCTTCTCAATTAATCTGGTGCATGGTGTTATTCTCATAGTCTGATAATATCCATTTTTTTTTTAACTGTCTCAGATGGCTGAGCTGGGAGCTTTTCTCAGGCAGCTCATTTCATATGTCTTAATTTTGTGTAGGTTAGCCTTTGATAATGTCCAAGTTGGGTACTGGCAGCACAGCATTGGTTTTAATATGCTGTTTATAATCTGTTTCTTGGTGGTCATACTTATTTTTTGATTTCTTAATCTTGGTGTAAGTTGGTATATAAGTGCATTGGCTCTTTGCATCTTGTTTCTATTTCCCAGTCTATTCTGCTATCCTCTGAGATTTTGCAGTAGTGAGTAAAGAAGCAACAGGAGATACTGCAGAGATACTCATACCAGTCCGCATCATTCTACTATGGACACTGCCATTCATTTCTGGTATAGATTATACATGCACATATTTTACCACAAAGGCATCACAACTTAAACTGCGTTTTAACAAATCGGCAAGAGTTTATATCCATGCGGAAGTCAGGTTATCAAGTGAAATATTATATGACATAGTTTGCTGAACATTGTTTTGCTCTGTTATATACCTCAAAAGTTGGATGTGTTGTACACTGTAAGGGAAGGAACAAATTATTTCAATACTTGTCCTAATAAGCTTGGTTAATGTATTTAGTGAACTATATGAAAGATTACATGTAATACATTACCTTGCTTAGTGAAATCAGATTATCTTGCCTAGTGAAATAAGATTACCTTGCTCTCTGAAATTATATTACCTTGCTTACAAAAACTGTCCTGGCGTTCTTGGTCAACTAACAATGCCCTGTTGAGTGCTGAATAGGCACACACAGAATGTGTGGGCAAATACCATATACCCCTTAAACACTAAGGTATGGAAAAAGCCCTTCACTTTGCTTGTTAGTATCTAATCTACATGATATGGTTTCCTTTCTTCGTCCCATTTCAATTGTTACATTATCTCACTGTGTCTAAATGAATAAATCAATTGTATCATATGTACAGGATATGTTTCTATTTACTATATGTATCATATTCCATTGTTAAATTAACTTACTTTATCTCAAAAGTTACATAAACAAACCTGTCTCAACTGCTACAATGACACACTGTAAATTGTTATATTTAGACATGTCTCATCATTACATTAACTCCCCCCTCCCCATCTCAATTGTTACATTAACCCACCATGTCTCAATCGTTACATTAACCCACCATGTCTCAACTGTTACATTAACACATCAATGTCTCAACCATTACATTAACGCATGTCCTGTCACATTAACCCACTTTGTCTCAGCTGTTACATTAGCCCACCATGTCTCAATCCTTACATTAACCCACCATGTCTCAATCATTACATTAACCCACCATGTCTCTATTGTTACAATAACCTGATAGGTCTCACTTATTACATTAACCCACTCTGTCACATGCTGATATTATTACAAATTTGTACAGAATAGAACCTGTTGCCATAAGAAAGAAAGAGTCAAGCTTGTACTTGAGAAAGATTTAATAAAAACAAGGGGATGTAAGCAACAGAGGGAAGAATTGTAAGCAATAGAGGGAAGAATTGTAAGCAACAGAGGGAAGAATTGTAAGCAATAGAGGGAAGAATTGTAAGCAATAGAGGGAAGAAACAAAATTTTGTAAGAATAAAATCTTCAAGTCTTCAATAAGTCTTCAAATCAACACCTACACTTTGTTCTTCATATTCACCGGCTGTAAACTCGGGTGGAAAGTTCTGGTTGTCTGTCTCCTTCTGGACTTTAGTCTTCTTCCAGAACTTGAGTTCTTCATGGACACTTATTTGACAGATCTGACTTATTTGTATGCAGACTGTTGGTTCAGGCAGATACACTCTGACTTTGAAGGATAACACCTGCAGTGAAATACCACTTGAGTTCTGCATGGACACTTATTTGGCAGATCTGACTTATTTGTATGCAGACTGTTGGTTCAGGCAGATACACTCTGACTTTGAAGGATAACACCTGCAGTGAAATACCACTTGAGTTCTGCATGGACACTTATTTGGCAGATCTGACTTATTTGTATGCAGACTGTTGGTTCAGGCAGATACACTCTGACTTTGAAGGATAACACCTATAGTGAAATACATTTCAACAATTTAAAATTTAGCCTGTCACCACCATGGAGGTTGGCTGCAGTGCAGGTCATTGTTGTTGAGCTACTGCTGATATAAGCCTTGGCTGAATCGTTCTAAAATTGTTTCATTCTTGTACCTGCGAAAACGGCATTACTATCCCATGTGAAGAGCTGAACACAGCAGTCCTGGCAAAACCAAAAGGATATGCAGGCATTACATTCATATCTTGGATGGATCACATATGGGGTAAGGATGGATAAGGGAGAAACTGACTCCATTTCAAGTTCTTTATACCAGTACAACATGTCTGACAGGAGAATATGTAGATATGTTGGATTCTGCGGTAGCAATTTTCTGCACAATGATCTAGTCTGGCTGATACCAACCCTCCTTATTCTTATCTTGTGACATGTAAGTTACACTGATACTATTCTACCGAGTTGAATGCATGGTGTCATACTGTAGGCTGCAGATTTAAAATAGAATGCTTTTTAGACTGACAACAACAGATGTAGGATGTATTAAAGAAGTTAAATGTAGAATAGCTCCAAAAAAAGGCAGCATTTTACAAATTGAAGAATATTTTATGCAATCTTTCTTTGTAAACTGAGATGAGAAAGAGAATTCTTAAAAGCTATATAAATCCTTTTTAGATATATGTAAATCACGTTAGGTAGGATGATAAGTTAAATATTATTTTAAAGCTGCCGAGATGTGGTTTTTATAGATGAATGATGAGAATACTCTGGACAGATAAAAACAGTAATGAGAATGTCTAGAAAAAAACTGACTCACAAAGAGAACTGATTGCCCAATCAGAAAGAGACTATGTACATTCTTTGGGTCATGTGATGCGAAGGAGAAAACTGGAGTACATCGTGATAGAAGGAAAGTTGGAGGGGAGGAGAGGCAGAGGGAGACTAAGAGAACAGAGGCTGGATAGGCTGACATCATGGTATGGAGGATCATCTGTATCAGAGTTGACTGAAAGTACGTGAGATTAAAGGTTGTGGATAGACATGATTACCAACACCACGAGGCATGGACTTGAAGAAGAAGAAGAGAAGAAGAAGAAGAAGAAGAAGGAGGAGGAGAAAGTGTTAGCAAAGGTTGTCTGTGTTGTGAAAATGCAGATTCAGAAAATGGCGGGTGGCCTGTCACCCACAGCACTGGCAGTGCCATATGCAATTTACATGTGCAATGCCAACTTCTTGTAACTACAATTTCCATAAACAAACACAATTCTAGTGGTGGAATGCTTATCTTGGCCCTTATGATGGTTGCTTTTAATGATGTGTATGCAATTTTTTTTTTTTTTTTTGCTGCGACTGCAGCCTGTTTCAATTGTTAAAGAGACAGCAACGGACATTCTGTACGATTTTCACTGCTAAAGGAAGGAAGTAATGATGGAGTGGTCTGTTTGCTGTGAAGTTGGAACTGCAACTAAGTGCTACTATAAATTGTTTCTTTTACAGGCAGCGGTAATACAGGATCAAATCTACATTATGATAAGTAGAATCATGCAACCAAATGACCAAACTAGTTTCTGTAGCACTACAAGAATAAAATATTACTGATCATTTGTTTTTAAAAAACACCAGTACTACTAAACAACACTAGAGTTCAAGTGCCCCCCGAAAAACATGTGTTTAATTTCTAAACAACACTAATGTTAAACTCTTTAAAAAAAAAACAGTGTTGGCTTCTACAAAAACATCAGTTTAA